CGCATGCACAATTCTTTTATTTATGGTTTGCGCATTCAATTTTATAGACGATGTTTAAACGGAATTTATTTTTTTCAGTTCTACTCTCGTTTTCTTGTGTAAATAAGCGGCTATCATCATGTAGATAAAACGACTTCTAAACAAAAACAATAAGTTGCTTAACCAGAGCAAAGACAAAGGATGTTTATAAGATTAACATGGGCTTAAATAGCGTCCTCACTCCTTCTCTTTTCTACCTCCATGCTCAGAACAATGCAATGTTTATTCGCCATCACTCATCATGTTGATATTTGCATCTCTTTTGTTCCAGTGAGTGCAAACAATTGGGGAAATGGTGTTCTTCCATATTGAGACAGAGTTCAGTCAAAAACACTAATGCAAAAATATGATCTTCATGATTATTTTTTCTCACTGCCTACTACGGCATGAAAGGTCTAATCACACACACACACACACAAACACACACACACACACACACACCCACACACACACACCCAGCTCAAAGTATGAATGTTTCACTCTGAAATCAGACTTTGGTACTATCTATAGTCATAGACGTGTTAGTACGTCCATGCTATCGTAGCCTGAGCCCTGAACAATCGATGCAATTTTTCAAAACTAATTGAAGTTCTGGGAGCGTCTTTTGTACACCTGATTGCGCTGTGACTGCTCAAGCCTTGGGTTTACGTTGCCGACTGCTTGATTGTTTCGTGGTCTTATCTGAATTAACTGCTGCCCGTCTGCATTTGGGGGTCTTGCACCATGGACGTACTAGTGTCCATGCTTGCACTCAATCGCCATCTCATGTAATCCATAAAGTTAGGATGTGTTATCAGTAGCAATCTGATACACATTGAGTGTTTAAAACACTTGAGTGGGTTGTCCCTCACCCCTGTTTGTTTCACAGATATGAATGTGTCAGACACAAGGTCACACAGCCACTAAAATAATCAATGATTTTTGTGTTCTCATCAGCTGATTTTTGTTGATTTCCTGTTTTCACAATACTTGTCTGTCACCTGCCAAAACAAATGCGTAGTTATCACCTCCATAAAAACCAAGAAAAACTGTCAAGTGTAACAAGGAATTAGGCGCTCCAGATTATTACGTTTTCTGTGTTGTTTACAAAGTGCGTGTGTGGAGAAAAAAAACGTTGTTTGGCCGCCATTTTGAATTTATAATGAAGTCATTAGCAACATCATAAATTAGCAAATTAGTTCTCTTGCTAAATTTGCTAAAAAGTCATGCTCGCAAAAAAGACATGTTTTAAAGTATTTCACGGATTATTTACCAATGTGTTTACGTTTGAGTTGGGGCAATGTGACCAAAACTGAAATTAAAATTCAGCACACTACTTTTTAAAACGCGTTGCTTGAATAAAACTGACAAGACACATTCAATTTACCAGACTATTGAACGAGGAAAATTAAAAAACAAAAAAATTTTATCAGCATAATTATTTTTTTTACAGAAAAAGTAATTTTTTACCTTTGATTGAGTAACGCGTCGTAGAATGCAGATACGGGCACGAAAAACACACTTTTGAAAAGTGTGGCGAATCCAAAAATATTCATACTTACCTGGGTCTTTTTGTAGCCATTTTGACACAATTGGAAGATGAAAACAAGTGTGCAAATAATAGTCTTGCTGCCTTAAAGCCAAGCATATTAATTAACCTAATTTGCATTATAACCAGGCCTGCATTGAATGGGAGCGCAAGTACCTGTAGACTTTAACCAGGTCTGCGTGGAATGTAAATGCAGGCACCTGCAATGAATGTGAATGCAAGCAGATTGACCTATTTTTAGTGTTCAACGCCAAGTAGTCTATTTGAACTCCGGTCAACCAATCTTATGTTCATTATGCTACCATCTCATATTTGACTTATTTATAATATACATGTGTCGATTTTGATTAGTTATGATTATTATGAAGCTTTACTTTCAATAAATGATTACATTAGTTAATTTTTCAAATGTCAAAAAAGGATACATTATTAATATTTGTTTAATATTTTTCCAGCCCCGTTGTCACCTGGCGCAGTTTCAGTGATTGATGTTACAGAAACTGAAATAAAAATACAGTGGGCACAAGCATGTGAAAATTGTACCTATGATTATTATGTCCATCATGAGCCAGAAGATGGTGAAGTAGATGTGGATTCCAGTTCTTTACATGCTAAATTGTATGATTTGAATCATGGAACTTTGTATAATATCAGTGTTGTTTCCATCAGCAACGATGTTCCTAGCGAACCAACTTATACATTAGCAAGAACACGTAAGTTATGCATTCTGTAGATTAATCAACACAGTGAAATATGTTTACAGTGAACACCAATTAGACTGGACAATTTTGCAATTTACCAATAAGTCTTGAGTCTTTTAAAAGGTAATTTATATGGATTAGAAGTTGTATAAAGTTGTTATTTTTAGGCAAATTTTTGGGATATGTTTGGTTTGGTTAAGACAGGTTAATTAATCTTTTCACCACCAGACTTTCTCACACAAATTATTCTGCAATTTTAGCTCAGCTGTGATCGAAGATTACTGAGCAGAACTTGTGGGTAGACCACACCTGTTGCTATATGCCGTCTTCAACTTTTTTCATTCAAATGACTTCTTCGGTCATAGGTGGTGAATAACTAGATAACCATGAATACAATGTATTTTTGTTTGATGATTTACTAGTATTTAATATAATATGGATTGTACCTCATATCAGTATTTTTAACATGGATGCTGAAGTTCTCAGTGAAAAAAAAAAACTTGTTTATTTCTCTTTGCTTATCACAGTTCCTGATACACCTGAAAACATAACCATTGAAACGGGCATGCGGTCTTTAAACGTTACTTGGGATGAACCGGAAGGAGAATATGCGGGATATAATATTAGTATTGAACCTTCAACTAATAGAGCTGGGAAAGACATCATAGTTGATGTTCCTGACAAAGGAATTGAAGAATGTATTATCACTGAATGTGACCCATATACCAATTATAAGATTACAATTATTGTCCACAGTGATGAGCCTAATCAAACTTTCAGTGAACCCGCTGTATCACATGCAATGACTGAAACTGCTCGTAAGTATTAAGTTCTTTATCTTTCTAAAATTAGCTGAGACATTTCGACCAAGGGAGTTAACAGGGAGTAATTAGTGAAGGTTAGAACATGTAATGTGCTTTCTACATGGCTCCAAAGTCACTTGCACAAAACCATGTTCGATGTTCTATCCTTCACTTGGCTTGGAGGCAAAAAAAGGCTAAATGAATAGTTACTCATCCCTGGTAATCTGTTATATTTACATTCAAGACACTTCCCCTGAGATGTAACCAATAGTTTTTTCCACCAAATTCTGAGTTGCTATGGGGTGTTTTCTGTATTTGTCTACTGTATTTCACCAGAGATGTTGCTGCTTAAATTGCCATATTCCCCCTCTGGAATCTTACATTCCGACATTGAACTAAAAAAAAGTTCATGTTTAAGATTTTTGCAGTAGACATTCATTCCATTCACACCTTTTATGCATTATGCAAGATTTTACACTGAACGAAGAATTATCTTTTGTGAGGCTCAAAAGAACTCTTCATAAATATAGAATGTTTCATTTCAGCACCACCTCCTCCCAGAAATAACATAGTTCCTTCATCCTCTGAGTCTGACATTGAAGTTTCTCAAACAACAATCACAGTATTATTCACAGATGATTATTTTAATGATTCCAATGGACCACTCTTAAATTTCACTGTCATTGTGACAGAAGATGGCAGTAAGTAGGTTTTATTGTCTGTCATACTTGGTGTGGAGTCTTTATATATGTTCAGTCAATGGTATAAGTACATGTAAGTGAACACAACACATTCTGAATGCAGTTTTAGATGATCAGTCATGGAGATAATGTTTTTCTTTAGCATTCTCACTCACATCATGAATTTTTACCTTGAAAGATGGAAGGAAAAGGTATATTAAGGGAAAAATTTCTGTTCGGCATTGTCGTTGTCGTCCTCGCCGCTGTTGTTAATAATTGTTATTGTGTGCACAATAACTTTACTAATTCTATTCTAAACTTTATAAAACTTGGTCACCTTATTCATCAGTATAAAGTCTTCCCTGAGTATGAACAACAGATATCCTGTATGAAAATATCATGCAAAAATTGAGAAAATCTGATAAAAAAATATTTTGACTGTTTCTACTTGACTGATCACTTGTGATACACATTCATAGGTCACTGATCCACTGACAGTGGAAATATGCATTGTTGTCTGTGTTTAATGAAGCAAATCATTTATCTTGTGATAATATCCTTGGTAATTTATCTCCCAAATCCCATGGGAATACTATACTGGGTTTCAAAACCAACTCATAGAGAGAGTTTTTGCACAGTCTGATACACATTTGCAAACCTAAAATCTTTACAGAAAACAAGATAAGCACTCGTATGAATTGGGTGCCAAACTTGGATCAAGATCTGAAGCTAATAGAAAGTCCAAAGTTATCAAATCAAAAACAATACATAAAAAATATATAAAAAGCAAAACGTTGCATTCACATTTTGAAAAGAAAATTGTACTCAAAAATAGGTATTCTGTATTTGAAAAACAGTTCATTCAACAAATGAAAATTCACAGGAATTTGTTTCAGCTATTAGAACAGAATAATAGAGCTTTAATAATAATAATCTAAAAACACACTTTAAAACAAACAGAGATTGTAATGTTTGAAGATGTAGATTCTCAGGAGGCAAGAGTAGTGTTGACTTCTCTCTCACTGGACACCAACTAACTATTTAAGTTGATTTGCATTAGAAAGCAGAGCTTGCAACCTGATAGAGGGCGTATTTTAACTCTGCTGTTGACTTTGTCGAGCGAAGCTTATTATATGAGTTATTGTCGCCTGTCGTCCGTGTCAATGTTTTACTTTATCGACTTCTTTTTGAAAACTACAAGCCTTAATTTTTTTGATACTGGGTGTATATGTACCTTGGGTAGACCACTCTTAGATTTGTCCATTTCATGATGATATCTTCAATTCTCTAATTTTGATGAATATTTTTGTCAGTTTAGGTAAAAAGTCTTGTTAAAAACCGCAAATCCAATTGCTTTGATACTATACATATAGCTGCTACAGGTAGATCTTTCTCAGATTTGTTCATTTCATGATGAATATTTTTAATAAAAAGTGATATTTTTGAGTTCTTTGCTGAAAACAGCAAGTCTGATTGAATGAAAATTGTGTACAATATTTTATCACTGTTAAATTATTTTAGAATTGATTATTTTGGAAATGTGTCTGCATATCTTCAGATACATTTACAATTTGAAACAAACTTTGTTCACAGTAATAGTTTACCAGTAATATCATGAGGCAACAGAAAAATGTATTATATAATGTGTGTGAATAATGAAATAAAAATCTTTGACACTCTTGAACAGCTGAGGAAGTTGATAAGCATCTGAATGGTGAAATACCACGTGTATATTGTAAAGATTGTGAAAATGTACCAGGTATAGAAGAAGGAGAAGTGAAGACCTGGGCAGAAGTACAAAACACTCCAGCCAGATATCAGATTGATTATCCTTATGACTATCCAGGTTAGTTTATTATTTGATTTCATTTAGATGTAGTATTAAAAAAGTATTGTCCAAATTAGTTTTCACTTCTGCTGACTCAGTAGACCAGAGAAAGCTATATATGTTAACAGCTGCTTATTGTTGTCTACATGTACAAAATATAGTTTCAAACTAGGTGGTTATATGTCTGCATGTGATTTATAATGGTCACCTGGCAGCCATTTTGTTTTTTTAACAAAATGCTGTTCAGGAGCCATATCTTTGACATTTTTAATAGATTATTTGCAAACTTTAAACATACTTTTTTGGGATATCCATGTAGATATTGTAATAATCCAATTTAAGATGGTCAGATAGTGATCATTCTAAGTATTTCTGTCATTCTGTACATATAAATATGATTTTGTTTTTCAGATTTGTTTCCAAAATAGACAATAGTGGTATTCGTTTTGTTTTCCAAAATATACTTTATTTTTTTAGCCTTGTCTCTGACATACCTATACCGATTAGAACAAACATCAGACATGCGCACATTGTGTATAAAATCACTGAAAAGGCACATCATTACACCAATTACTACCACTGTTTGTTCAAATTAGATATTTGTCTAAGTTAAGCAAAGTGGTTCTTATTGCTGCCAGCCAGTTGACCCCTGAATTAAAAAGTAATGGTATCACCCACCAGGTACATGGCACCTCCAGGAATTATGTGTAATACGGCAGAAGACAAAGGCTGAAAATTTGGGAGCTACTAGAAGCAACACATACATCCTTTGCTGATAATTTAGCAGTCTTTCATGCTGACTTAATCACCATATGGATTAACCATTTCTTTAAACCGGATATAACATAACTATTAGGACTGCAAAGTTTAATCCATCTTCCAATACAACAGTCTCAGAGGTTCACTGGTCATGCAGAATGAACTGTACCATAATTTTCAGATGGGTTCTGAAGGCGATCAGCTTAGCATACTCAAATGTGGATACCCAGTTGCATGATCTGAAAGCTATAACTAACTTCAATGCTGTTTGTGATGTTGCAGCGTTAGATGTGCTGGCATTGGGGTTCTGAAAGCCATGCAACATATTCGTCTCTCATTACCCCAAGACCTTTCCCACTGACAGCACCAGTTATCACAAACCTGGTACTGATCGCTGTAGGTGACTTGCTACTGGACTTCCTATTGTGGAGTTGAGTTTAGGGATTTAACAGGACATTACGAGTAGCTTACCTTTACCCTGGGAGCCCTTGGTTTAACTAAATTGAGTTTTATGTATTGTAAATGTTAGAGATCTGTTCACTTTTTTAGTCCCGCAGTCCGAAAACGGTGACTTATGTTTTGACCTCCGTGTGTGCGTGTGTGTGTGCGTTCGTTCGGACCTGTATCTTAGAAATGCCTGGACCAATCACAATCAAACTTCACACATACATTATACATGATATTATAAATATGCATGTCAATTTGTTTCACGATCTGATTCAAGATGGCCGAATGGCGACCATTTTGTGCTAAAAATCATCAAAATCAAGCATTTCTCGGCTGTTTACAGATGGATTTTGTTCAAACTTGGTATATACATTAGACATTTAAGGACCTTGATGCAAATAATTTTGTTTATCAGATAAGATTCAAAATGGCCGACTGGCGGCCATTTTGTATTAATAAATGTGGTTCTCGTGCCATATCTCTGACTTGTTTTCACTGATTATGTTTAAATTTTAAATATTCATTATACATCATGTCATAGATAGACAGATATATTGGTTTGACGATCCTATTCAAAATGGCCAAATGGTGGTCATTTTTGTGCTAAAAAATCATCAAATATCAAGCATTTCTGGGATTTAAGGATGGTTTTCGTTCAAACTTGGTACATACATTAGACATTACGGGTTCCTGATGCACATCATTTTATTTTTCAGATCGGATTCAAAATGACTGACGGGCGGCCATTTTATTTTAATGATCGGGCTTCTAGAGCCATATCTCTGACATGCTTTGACTGATTATGTTTAAAAAAAAATAAAAAAAGCCATCTGTCGTATTTTCAAACTACACGGTCTGAAAGTCACAATCGAAGCTAATAAAAATATTGTCAACTTCCTGGACGTCACATTCAACCTCACTGGCAGCTCTTACAATCCATATATTAAACCCAAAATATATATACATCATGTCATAGATAGACAGATATATTGGTTTGACGATCCTATTCAAAATGGCCAAATGGTGGTCATTTTTGTGCTAAAAAATCATTAAATATCAAGCATTTCTGGGATTTAAGGATGGTTTTCGTTCAAACTTGGTACATGCATGAGACATTATGGGTTCATGATGCACGTCATTTTATTTTTCAGATTGGATTCAAAATGGCTGACTGGTGGCCATTTTGTTTTAATGATTGGGCTTCTAGAGCCATATCTCTTACCGTACTCGACCGCGTAAGCGCCCAGGGGCCTCAACTCAGAAAATCACGATTTTTTAGGGGTGGGCGCTTACCCGAGCACCCCCCTCGAAAAAGAGTGCAAATGAAAAATTTGATTCATCAAGTGACAGATTACGTCTTTGAGGGAAATCAAATTACGAAATTAGTTGAGTCGTCATTGATTTTCACAATGAAGAAACAGAAATGATCACAACAAATATGCACATTTTATTAAAATATTAATTACGTACCACCAGAATTTACGAAATTAAAAACATTTGAGTCTGTTGAACACAGTCGAAGTCAAAATTGTCATATTATCTCCACTGACGAAGGTGTTTGATCGTATGCAAACTCTCGATGAAAATCACTTTCCGCCATGATGCATTTGCAGATTTCACCTGCAGCGGCGTCCTTTGACCTAATGGGTCAAATTGGTTATTAACCAATCACAATGCTGTGTTGTAATGACGCAATTCTTCGGAAATTCCCGAAGACGTTCCGGTAACGCAATGCGGAAGTGAATTATCGATGTCGAAGTACGATCTGTTGGAATTGATTTCAGCGAATAAACGACATAGTTTTTCCAAAAAACTAGTAACTAGCCATTTTTGAGAGGTAAACTGTATATGGCATGAAATATTTACCGCATTTTACTTGTATTAACAGGTCATTGTCGAAGCGTAGTTACGCAC